AGCATTGACTCATTTACTAAAAACATGACTAAAAATCTATCATCAGACAACGTCTGAAAAGGCCAGCTTTGAAGGACTGAAGTATGGAGCAGATGTGTCAGATACTATTCACCGTTGATGGACCATTTAAGTATTCAAACTCTCGACTGTTATTTTGAGAAGTGAAGCCTTCGTACGGGAATAGGATCATAATACCTTTATAATACCTTTATTCTACCCATAGTAAATCATACAAAATTAATCCCCCAGCATTGTTAATAAAAACGCTACTACATTCTCTTTGATTTCTACTCTCTGGCCTTTGAGTTCCAGTTAGCACTAGAAATTCAAATCACTGATGGATTCTATATTTTCATGAGTGTGGCCATTGCATCTCTGTTCTAATAGCTTTTGGTGCAACCTAGTCTTGCCCACTCTGGGGCCCTGCCCTGCCCTTGGATTAGTGAAAACCAGGTCTCCTGCTTTATGTTGCCTGCTGGTCCACTGCTGGTCCCAGTGGGAAGTAACAAACATTTTAAATGGTTTTACCATAGTGTTTTGCTCAAATCCTAGATTGTCACCTTGACATTACACCAGCAACATGATGTCACTTCTGGTTTTTGTCAGAATTGACATTGCGCCACGGGCACAGCACCATTTCCCCTGTTCTCACTGGCCTTACTCATTTGATGGTTGCCAGGGTGGTGGGAGGACAGCTTCATCTGATGCTCTAGAAATCCCCCAAATCTATAATCCTTTTTACCACAGAGTTGGGGAGAATTCCTAGAGGTTTGCACAGCACTGTTTTTTCACTCTGTGCTCCCAAATGCTCCAGCCCTACATAAATTCCCAGGTGACAACCGTAGTGTAACCCAAGGTATTTTGCACTGGGTTCAAACAAAAAACTAAGTACAAAGAGCTTTCTGAATCACTAGCTTAAAACTGTAACATTGCAGAGGATTTCAACCATGCCCTCTACTGCAATCCAATTTTAGTGTATGTGATGCTGAAGCAATCAATATCTACCTGCCCCCATTTTTTCTCATATCTCCTGCCCCCATTTTTTCTCCTAAAAGCTCACTACCTTTTGATCTTTAGCTGAACCTAATAAATATATCAGTAAATGTATAATATTGTTTGTGTTAAGAATTTTTTCTAATGATCCAACATGCCTGCTTTTTCCTTTCTTTAAAATTGCACATAATTGTAAGATAGAATGTAGCTTATTAGAAGCACACACACGAAGTGTAAGTCTAATATACATTCTTAGCATCTCTGCTTAAATGATTGCTGGTATAGTAACAATGCAAGAAATTACCTCTGTCCAAGACCTGTGAGTGCTATTGTCAGTCTAGGATTGCTTATACTGAGCTACATGAATACTTCATAATAATTCCCTGCATCCTCATTTTTATAGCCCTCCTAGACTGCAAGCTCAGCAAAGGATCAGGCTAAGCAAGTCCACGTGTCCATCACAGCCATCTCAGAAAGAAAACACTTTGAATGGGATGCACATTAGTTAATATCTTAATTGAACAACAAAAGAAAAAGCCAGTTTCATTAATGTTAGAAGTATTCCTGGATTCAAGTCTGGTGTTTGCAGAACAAGTTGGAACATTTGCTTGGACTGCCTTTTTCATTTATATTTTGTGATTGAGGACGGTGCAGTCACTGTTTAGTTTTGCCAGGAAATTTAAGGCCTCCCTTTTCAAACTGTCATTTGGCTGACACCATTTTAATAGTCTTGGATTGCTGACATTTTATTATGAAAAAGTTTCTGCTATTTTGGGTTATAAAATATGTTCAAATATATATCTGTAGACAATAAATAAATGCTTTCATTAAACTGAAAATTAAATTTATAAACAATGTATTTTTTCTTTTATGTTTTAATGACCAGGTAAGAGTTCAAAGAGGTCATAAAGAAAGATAAAAGGGAGAGAAGTCAGTTGATAATGTAACTGTCAGAGATGTTTTCCAGTCAGTAGAATTACACATATCTCACCACTAAAGAACACCAAACAAACAGAAAATATGGGCCTATGTTGCTTATACCAATCTCAGGCCAGTTCCACAAGGGTTATCTGCTCCATGTTCAGTGCTGTTGGGAAGCAAGCGGTTTCCCCCCCTGTTTCCTCACAGAATTGCAGAGATATGAGGGGAAAGGCATATGCCCACCACAAATAGAAGAGACAGATACTTTTGTTTGTTTGTTTCACAGAACCTTACACATTCAATGGTATACCAATGCAGTAATATGAAACCACCAATTAAGAAAAAACTGAAAAAGCCTTGGTGGCATGGGGAAGGGGAGTGGCCACTGCAGGGGGCTGTAGAAGAGAAACTGCAGGGAGATTTGTCATGTGGAAGCCAAGCCCTATTGACACTGTGTTCCATTAGCAGATACATTGGCAATGGGGAAACCATGTACATCTGTTCCCATGTCCCCTCATTGTTTATGGATAGCTTTGACAAATCACTTGCCTGTGGAGAGCTTTGATTCTTCAAAAGCTGTGGGTCCTGTTTGTTTGATCTATTCTGTACTTTGCATTCATGCCAGCAAACAGCAGCTCCAAACATTTTGCTTGCACCAGCACTGATGACTGGCAGTGTGTGTGAAAAGTACTGGGTCCAGACGTGTTGGTAAGTGAAATAGCTCATAGTTTATTTCAGCTCAGGAAAACAAGACAAGGAAAGTTGGACCTGAGGCCTGCTTATATTCCCATTGTGAACCACACCCAAACACACACCCACATCTGTGATAGGATTATTTACAGTGCACTTGCATTCCATAGGTCACTCTAGGATCCTGACCGCCCGATTGGGTGCATTCTAGGATCTGTGCTGGCTATTGTCTAAGAGAGTGAAGCTTAAGCCATTCGCATGGCTGTGTGAGGACCCGACCGCATGTGCGGTCTATGTAAGAACACAATAGTGTGTGTGGTGGGGATGGGGTAGATAAGAGGCAAATGCTATGCTTGTCCTTCCCCATCTGGGCACCAGACAACATCTTCTCAACAACTTGAGTGCTGAAGTCAGTCAACCACACATAGACCACTGATTACATGTATTTCTGTCATTCTTTTTTCAACACACTTTAACATTTTTAGTGAATGCAGCCATTAGGGTAGCAGTTTCAAAGAAAAGATGTGTGCAGGGCATTAAAATGCCTTTAAGGTGCCAAAAATCACCACCCTCAAGCTGTTTTTTATCCTGAAAATGGGGCCTGGAAGTTTTCCCTAGTGAACTGTTTAGGAGCAGGAATTTGGGGCAGAAAAATGGCATGGGAGGAAACTGAATTCTTAATATATGAAATGGCCCCACTGGGCCATCCTAACTTTATTGGGTTCCAACTAGAGGGGGTGGGGGACAGAACTGGGAACTGAGCTTGCATTTAATGGCCTATAAAACCAGGACCTTACTCTGTTCTGACCCAAATCTAGAATTTTTTTGGATCAGAGATACAAGGCCAAATTAACTGGATGAAAAACAACGTTCTTTCCAGAAATGTGCTTCCCTATTGAAACTACTAGGAATCAAAGCAAACACCATGATGGTGAATGAAATGAGAAAACAAGTCACTGTTGTGCTCTTAGTTTAATAGAAACTAATGCAAAACACTAGCTATACAGTTATGACTGCATTAAGACCAGACAATAATGCAAAGCATTTTTATCGAAAGAGATCCAAGATAGGTTTCAGGATTCCAAGAAAGGCAAAATCTGCTACATGTTAATTTGTTCTTTTTGCCAGATACATTCATTGGTATAAACTAGGTCATCACACTCTCACATGAGTGCCAAAAACAGCTCTAGAAGCATCATTTTCTTCAAGGCTAGAAGGGAAAAATATCTAATGCCTCTTTTTCAGCTCAGAAGACTTTAGCAGCCACAACTATTAAATATAAAAAGGAATGCCTCTAATTTCTATCACTACATCTCCCACCTTAACTATTTTACAATAAAGTCAAATATTGCATAAAGTAAAACATAATATTGAAAATAAATATATTATCTGTAAAAATTACCTTCAGTAATTAGTACCCTAAATTACACTGTGATCATCGCGCACTAACATCTTTTTAGAAATCATTCTGGAGATTCAGTCTTTCTAGTCAAATGCTTGACTATTTAAAAAAATTAATATTTATATATTGGTTTAGTATGAATGTTTAATGGACCCTCCTACTGAAAGTCACATTCAAGTTGATTGCATATATTTATTTAGTTTTTTTATTTAGTTTTCTTAATTTATATCCCACCTTTCTCCCTAATGGGGACTCAGGCATTCACTGTAATTTGTGAACAGGTCTTGTGCATTCAATGGGACACTGTACAGTTTAAATGCTGAGACCATTTTTCTTCCTTCTTCTAAATCCAGAATAATTTGCTTCTACCTCTAATCCAGAGTAACTGGGCACATCATTATTATTGTTGTTGTTTTTTTAAAAATCTGGCAGCATCTCACAGTTAAAACAAACTTTTCCCAGATGCTTTGCACTGTTTAGGAGCATGTTCCATTCCACAGTTTTTGCTGGCTTGTCTCTTTTTCTGTGTCCCCCCACCCCCCAGCATTTGCTTGTGAGGAAGGTAGGGTTGCCAGCCTCCAGGTGGGGCCTGGGGATCTCCCGCTTTTACCACTGATCCCCAGCCAACAGAGATCAGCTCCCCTGGAGAAAATGGCTGCTTTGAAGGGTGGACTCTATGGCATTGTACTATCCGGAGGCCCCTCCCTCCCCAAACCACACCCTCTCCTGGCTCCACCCCCAAAGTCTCCAGGTATTTTCCAACCCAGACTTGGCAGCCCTAGAGGAAGGTATTTCTATTTCTGAAGATTTTCTTTCACTTTACGTTAAGGGCATAGACAATACCTTCAGCCAAATTCAGATCTTTGGCCTGTGCCATCACAGTCTGAGGCCCTACAGATCT